CTCAAAAATGGAAATTAATTTTGAATAAATGCACATTTGCGTGCGGTACTATTTTTTTCGATCTACCCCAGTACTAATGGAGTAAAAAACGGTAAGTCTTATCTCGAAACTCAAAAAAACCTAACTAATGGTCCATAGTCCTTATTGCTCGAAGCTCTACTTGTACGCACGGATCTTTAGTTGCCTATGGTCGTTCCTGTGGCGAGTGTCGTCATAACTACTCCGAGGGAATGGAGCCATGCAATGATTGCACAGGTTGTAAGAAAAGCGATAAACAAACACGGATGCGACAAAAAAGCAATGGACCCACCGGTTTACTTGCCCAATTTGTAACGAAGATACCATTTCCAATGGTGATGCGTGGGTTGATCGATTTCAAGGTAATTGCTATAATTTAAAAGAACTTTCATCCGTTAGATTTCTTGAATGAATTGCCAATGATGACACGTCAAATGGAAGGAATGAGGAACCATCGTGTTTGTGATGATTGCAAGGAGACGGTATAGTTTGAAAGATTAAATTAATAAAGTCAACTTCCAGCGCATTATTGAGAAGATGCATCACTGTAATGAATGCGATTTGAAGGTTAGTGGGTTAATTGACATATAGTTTTTCCTTTTAGATTTGTTCAGATTGCCTTGTTGAGGAGCATCGATCTCATGAGACAACGCGACTTTGGAAGAAAGCAGTAAATTTAAAGTTAGCAAATAAAAAAATGATGTATCTAGCTTTGTGAAATGTCCGAGGCTCAACAGAAAGATACGGCCAATGTGGTGAAAACGTACAACGATTTGTTTGCAGTAATGCACGAGAATACTTCGAAGGGTCTGGAGGCTTTTGGAACGGTATACTTATTTCGAATTATATTAATATGCAGACTTTCTTAGAAATTGGTTTTGAAAGAAGAAGACTGTAAGAGCATTTCGACATTTGGAGAAGGAAAGAAGACACTTGAAAAATGCGCGTAAGTTTTTGTCTTTGAATGCTTAATAATCCGGTTTAGGAAGCTGAGGGAGGACTTTGAGACGATTTCGGAGAAACTCATGCCTCATTTGCGTCGCTATGAGACGAAGGTCAAGGTGAGTTTAAAAGTTTTGTGACTCACCTTTTCAAGTTTTAGACATTGACTGAAGCAATTGACAATGAAGACTATCAAGGACTTGAAGCTGGATTTGAAGAGTGAAAGGAGCGATGTGTTTTATCCTGATTTTGCAAATTTGAAGCTGTATTATTTTCTGCCTGTACGAAGCTGTATCACTTTTCAATATGATTTTGTGTTACTTTGATCACATTGATTTTATCGGTGCGATAAATATTTTGACCTGAAAATGCCGGTTAAATGGTATTTGATTGGTGTCTTGCTGTAGCGGTTTCTCTTTTTTAAAGGTCAGTTTTTGTTTTTATTTTTCATTCAATTTCGAAAAAAGCAGTTTGTTTTTGAGAAAACGAATTACTATTGTGCTTCAGGAATCCAACTGATCAGCCAACATCCACAGAAGGCCAGCTTTATATCAGAGGCACAATTGCTCATGCATCAACTCCACAAAACTCTTTGTTCGACATTTTATTACTGTTAAGAAGCTGATTATAGTTGATTATATATTTCAAAGCCATTAGCTGGACTCAATCAAAAATGTTAAAAATTCTTTTCATTTCCACTTTCTCCCAATCAAGTATCATGCTCGGAGATCGACCGTTATTTGGCTCATTTGTTTGACGAAACTCTCCTCAAACCTTTCTATCAACGAATCGATGAACTGATCAGTGACATCTCTCATTTCGTTCTATGAACTGATCGTTTCGAAAGCGTTCACCAAGCAATACATCGAAGTAAACCGGAAGGTAGATTATGAGTATCGTGTCTGGTTTAAAGCGTGTTTCAGCTTTATCCGATCTATCTCGTCCCTCCGAGCTGCATTTTTCTCGTTCGCTAACCAGCTTCTCCGTGGCTTTCTCGGTTTGAAAATTTCGCTTCTGGAAGAACAGGTGATTGGAAGGAATTCAAATTTGAAAGGACTTGTAAGGAAAAAATTTAGTGTGAAGCCTATAATGACTATTTTGGTTTTCAGAATGACATCGACGTTGGATGTGCCAAAAGGTGTTGTAGACGATCCACAACGATATGTTCTCAACTTTGTCGTCGATTTTCTCACCGGCAGAAAAGCCGTGGCGATTTTCGGGAAACTCGGTGGCTTGGGGAACGATTGTGCGAAACATGAACGCTACATCAAAGTGATTAAGAGAATCGATGCATGAGAGAGAACTCTCAACAGCCGGTCAAAGGTTTGTTCGAAAAAATGTATTCAATTATTTTTTAGTTGCCATTAAATATTTGACAAACGTCTTGAGCAAGGATCTACTCGATTATATCATTTTGAAATGTAAGGCGGCTACCAATAACAGGGAAAACTATATTTATTGGAGTCGACGGTTTGCGACGCGTGGCATGGCTACGGAACGACTCCAAGGTGTGTGTGTTCGTTTAGTAAAACCCTAATTCTTATAATTGTAACTTTCAGAGAACATGTGTCAACACAGTGTTTCTCCAGTGTCTGCTCTCTTCTTTACAATCATCATCTGCTGGGAGCTCAAGTAAGCAGTATTTAAGTGATAGACAAATGAAAGTTCTGAAAGTACCGGTTTCTATATCAATAGCCTATTTTTTAGAGATCAAGTGGGCGAGATCAAGCCATCGACAACAACGAGTTCAGCTGATGAGGAACCAGATTGAGTACAAGAACTAAATATTTAAATTATAGCAATGATACATAACTTTTCTTTTTTTTAGAGAAGAAGTCAAGAAGAAACCAATCACGAAACCGCCACAAAAGGATCGACAAAAGTGGGATGAATTAGGGAACTCAAAACAAAGAAATTGAAAATTACCAACGCTATTTTTAAATATTTTAAAAATCCACGCAGTAAAGATGCTCTTAACTTATTTGTTCAGATTCCGTTTCACCCCGTGGACCCCCGAGCCTCTTCCCAAAGCCTCTTCACCTCCACCCACACAATCAATCCCACAACCAGAGATCACCCAGAAACGATGTGTCACTTGTGGAAAAGAGCTCACTTATGAACTCGAGAATTCTTTTTTGGTATTTGATTATAAAAGAATACTCAACTCAAATATTACAGCTTGAATGCAATCACACAGGCCCCAAATTCTTCGCTCATGAGCAATGTTTTGTGAAGGCTCTCAAAGAACAAATCCCGAGTCTGGATGGAAGAAAAAGAAAGGTGAGTGGAGGAAATATAATGGGCACAGAAAAGTTGAATGGTTTAGGATTGGAAGAAGGCGTTGTGTGTGGAAGATGGATGTAAGGGACATCTTCTCTTCTGTCAGAAAGTCACCAAAGGAGTCCCACAGGGAAATGTAAGTTTCAGAATGGACTCTATCTAGCTAGACGGTGAAATGACTATTCAAATCATTAATCTCAGTCGATCTTCTACGATGACTGAATGCTCTTCTCACGAATAACCTTATCGATCTTCATCAACCATTAAAATAACATTGATGCATCCAGATCTTTGGCTTATTAGCTCATCGAGTTTTCTTTGACTAATTGTTTTTCAATTTTCTAAAGTATTTTGTTCTTTGTTAAACATTGTGTTGTTTTTATTTTTATTCGTTTAAGTGTTCAAACCACTTGTATCAAACAGAGTGTTCATTTTTCATTTCAATAAATTTCATTTAAATTCCCAGCCTAGATTATTTGATTGCTGGCACCGAGGCTTTCTTTGGAGTATTTGATGAACGTCGCCTGGTTTTTTTTTGCGGCTCAGATCTACTTGCTGAGCGTAGAAGCTCACTTTTGTACCGCTCCAGTTTTGCGATCTCTTTTGCCACTTCTTTGCCGTGGCTTTGTGGTTTCAGTGTCGTGTAGAGATGAACCTTTTCATTAATGAGCTCGATCTAAAGTTAGGATTGTGTAGGGAGACTGATATTTGGACAGCTTTTGTAAACGTACTAAATTTGAGGCCTCGTGATGTGAATTTGAATTGATTCGCTCATTTTCTTGGCTTGAATCTATTTCAAAACCTTTTTACCTAGATGTTATTGAACTCCTTGATGAACATCTCCTCGTCGATTCTCTTCTTTGCAATCGCTTCTCTTCTGAATTTGTTCTCTGGTGTTCGTCATCTACTTCAAGTAGAACCTCTTTATTCGAGATTTCTTATTTAATTTGGCGTCATTTCGTATATAAAGTTTAGCCGTCAAAGCTCTTTTTGTGTAGAAAGTTTTCAAAAGTCGCTGTTTTCCGTTTTGTCCTCTTTTTAGTAAAAGTAGTTAAGGCGTAATCCATTCTCAATTTAGGTACTGTAGCAAGCTTTCATACATATAATTCATTGTGAGATTCATTCAATGTAAGCAACTGAAATCAATTCCGAGGAGAGGAACCCATTTTATACCATTCACGTCACTGTACGCTATAGAAGTTTAAATTTGCGGAAGAGCATTTAAACTTACGTGGCTAATGTTGAGGTTCTGGTTGTCGAGGAAAAACGGATGCACCAGAAAAGAAAATTTTTCCACTTATGAAGCCAAAGTAAACTTCAACGAACAAAACTTGCTGCTTAAACAATAAAAAACAAAATACATTTCCTAAATTACACTTAAAAAAGGAAAAAAAAATATGTCGGAAAGTATTCAATCATTTAACTGAGTATTCCATGTTTGTTTAATTTTCTATAAAGCCTTTGAAAGTGGGCAAAACTTCATTCTCTCTTTTTCGCCTGCATCTTTTTTAGAATATTAAGCAATGCTTGTTTGTTAATCTCGGCCAATTGTTTTTCGAACTCTACTTTTTCATCCATTTTAAATACAGCTGAATCGAAACCGAAAATTTGCATCGAAAAAGGGTCAAATCCCTAATGCATATTTTTAAAAAATCGTTTTAATCAGCATGAAAAACTGGTCCAGAAAAAGTAGATTTTCAAAAAAATTGCCCCCCCTCCGGCTACTCAGGAAGTACCTGATCATTGTTTCTTTTCAGGAAATGAAAGTCTTTCAGTCTCTCAACTGCGTTGTCTGCAAGTTGCCATGTAAGTTATGCGTTTTATTTAATTCTATGGAATACTACATGCCTAATTGCACTGTGTTAATTTACTACTTACTTTCAGTTGCTCGAAAGGCCAACGAGGCTCGATCACCACGACCTTTAGACTGCGGATCGGCGATGTGTCACGAATGTTTCGAGAAGGAGAGGCGGTTGGCGAAAGAGAAGAGGGAACATCAATGTGTTCGGAAACAGTGCTTTAACAATGCCAATTTTGCATTTTACCTGATTGGTAAGTGAATTTGTTTTGTTTAAAGTGTACACGGCGCAGCTTTTTAAAAATAAAAGAATATTATTTACTTGTATTTCCGATTTAGATGTTCTATCGCAAGAAGATTCCTTGACACTTTCACCTTTGGGAGATGGTTATTTGCTTGTCAAGGTCTTTCTTGCTCTTTATGTAGATCAGTTTCGTTTAGCCCTTCAAAATTCCCGAATGTCCAATTTGTCATGATGAATGTAAGTGTTTCATTGTTTATTTGTTTATAATATTAATTTTGGTTGAACATTTATGATTTAGATTCGAATCAAGTTGAAGGAAAGAAATCGTTTTCAATCTATTGCAATCACCTTATCTGTACGGAATGTTATCTGAAGAATCGCACGCCAAACACGAATGCGAAAAAAAAGCAATGGACCCACCGGTTTACTTGCCCAATTTGTAACGAAGATACCATTTCCAATGGTGATGCGTGGGTTGATCGATTTCAAGGTAATTGCTATAATTTAAAAGAACTTTCATCCGTTAGATTTCTTGAATGAATTGCCAATGATGACACGTCAAATGGATGGAAGGAGGAACCATCGTGTTTGTGATGATTGCAAAGAGACGGTATAGTTTGAAAGATTACATTAATAAAGTCAACTTCCAGGGCATTATTGACAAGATGTATCACTGTAGTGAATGTGATTTGAAGGTTAGTGGGTTAATTGACATATAGTTTTTCCTTTTAGATTTGTTCAGATTGCCTTGTTGAGGAGCATCGGTCTCATGAGACAACACGACTTTTGAAGAATGAAGTGAGTTTCGGGTTAGCAAATAAGAAATGATGTATCTAGCTTTGTGAAATGTCCGAAGCTCAACAGAAAGATTCGACCCAGATGGTGAAAACGTACAACGATTTGTTTGCATTAATGCACGAGAATACTTTGAAGGGTCTGGAGGCTTTTTGGAACGGTATACTTATTTCGAATTATGTTAATATGCAGATTTTTTTAGAAATTGACTTTGAAAGAGGAAAACTCTAAGAGCATTTCGACATTTGGAGAAGCGAAGAAGACACTTGAAAAATGCGCGTAAGTTTTTGTCTTTGAATGCTTAATAATCCGGTTTAGGAAGCTGAGGGAGGACTTTGAGACGATTTCGGAGAAACTCATGCCTCATTTGCGTCGATATGAGACGAAAGTCAAGGTGAGTTTAAAAGTTTTGTGACTCACCTCTTCAAGTTTTAGACATTGACTGAAAGAATTGACAAAGATGACTATCAAGGACTTAAAGATGGATTTGAAGAGTGAAAGCAGCGATGTGTTTTTCTTGATTTTGCAAATTTGAAGCTGTATTATTTTCTGCCTGTACGAAGCTGTATCACTTTTCAATATTATTTTGTGTTACTTTGGTCACATTGATTTTATCAGTGCAATAAATATTTTGGCCGGTTAAAAAAGCGAAAAGTAAAAGTAAAAGTGCCGGTTAAATGGTATGTGATTGCTGTAGCGGTTTCTCTTTTTAAAAGGCAGGTTTTGTTTAATTAATTGTCGTGGGGCTGGACAGAAGATATTATAAATTGCTGAGTTTTGTTAGGTGGTTTTGGAAAAATAACCGTTAAATTTTTGTTGGAAATAAGGCTGGCCGTACAAATATTTTTACCCGTCCTGTAACAGGGAAAATATTTCAAAACCTTTTTACCTAGATGTTATTGAACTCCTTGATGAACATCTCCTCGTCGATTCTCTTCTTTGCAATCGCTTTTCTTCTGAATTTGTTCTCTGGTGTTCGTCATCTACTTCAAGTAGAACTTCTTTATTCGAGATTTCTTATTTAATTTGGCGTCATTTCTTATATAAAGTTTAGCCTTCAAAGCTCTTTTTGTGTAGAAAGTTTTCAAACATTGCTGTTTTCCGTATTGTCCTCTTTTTAGTAAAAATAGTTAAGGCGTCAATTTAGGTACTGTAGCAAGCTTTCATACATATAATTCATTGTGAGATTCATTCAATGTAAACAACTGAAATCGACTCCGAGGAGAGGAACCCATTTTATACCATTCACGTCACTGTACGCTATAGAAGTTTAAATTTGCCGAAGAGCCTTTAAACTTACGAGGCTAATGTTGAGGTTGTGGTTGTCGAGGAAAAACGGATGCACCAGAAGAGAAAATTTTTCCGCTTTTGAAGCCAAAGTAAACTTCAACGAACAAAACTTGCTGTTTAAACAATAATAGACAAAAAATATTTCCTAAATTGTACTTAAACAGGGAACTGTTTGAACCCGGAATCGATCTGGGGTATGTGACCTATGTACAAAACGCGACCTTGAAAATTTAGGGGATAGGTGTTTTTTATTTTTACTCCTCTATTTGTAGATCTTTGTAGAAACGCATTTGAAATTTTGGCAATTTTTGAAAAATATGGTCACATCTAAATCAATAACAATATAATCTCAATACATATTTCCCTTTTCAACAGTCGAGCTGTCTCATGCAATCGATGATTTTCAACGACACATACAGCACAAATCTAAACAACGGTTAGGTTTTTATCAAAAATAGGCCGACAAAAATTATAAGAATTGCAAAGTTTTAGGGTTTTACTAAACGAACACACACACCTTGGAGTCGTTCCATAGCCATGCCAGCCGTCGCAAACCGTCGACTCCAATAAATATAGTTTTCCCTGTTACTGGTAGCTGCTTTACATTTCAAACCGGCTGTTGAGAGTTCTCTCTCATGCATCGATTCTCTTAATCACTTTGATGTAGCGTTCATGTTTCGCACAATCGTTCCCCAAGCCACCGAGTTTCCCGAAAATCGCCACGGCTTTTCTGCCGGTGAGAAAATCGACGACAAAGTTGAGAACATATCGTTGTGGATCGTCTACAACACCTTTTGGCACATCCAACGTCGATGTCATTCTGAAAACCAAAATAGTCATTATAGGCTTCACACTAAATTTTTTCCTTACAAGTCCTTTCAAATTTGAATTCCTTCCAATCACCTGTTCTTCCAGAAGCGAAATTTTCAAACCGAGAAAGCCACGGAGAAGCTGGTTAGCGAACGAGAAAAATGCAGCTCGGAGGGACGAGATAGATCGGATAAAGCTGAAACACGCTTTAAACCAGACACGATACTCATAATCTACCTTCCGGTTTACTTCGATGTATTGCTTGGTGAACGCTTTCGAAACGATCAGTTCATAGAACGAAATGAGAGATGTCACTGATCAGTTCATCGATTCGTTGATAGAAAGGTTTGAGGAGAGTTTCGTCAAACAAATGAGCCAAATAACGGTCGATCTCCGAGCATGATACTTGATTGGGAGAAAGTGGAAATGAAAAGAATTTTTAACATTTTTGATTGAGTCCAGCTAATGGCTTTGAAATATATAATCAACTATAATCAGCTTCTTAACAGTAATAAAATGTCGAACAAAGAGTTTTGTGGAGTTGATGCATGAGCAATTGTGCCTCTGATATAAAGCTGGCCTTCTGTGGATGTTGGCTGATCAGTTGGATTCCTGAAGCACAATAGTAATTCGTTTTCTCAAAAACAAACTGCTTTTTTTCGAAATTGAATGAAAAATAAAAACAAAAACTGACCTTTAAAAAGAGAAACCGCTACAGCAAGACACCAATCAAATACCATTTAACCGGCATTTTCAGGTCAAAATATTTATCGCACCGATAAAATCAATGTGATCAAAGTAACACAAAATCATATTGAAAAGTGATACAGCTTCGTACAGGCAGAAAATAATACAGCTTCAAATTTGCAAAATCAGGATAAAACACATCGCTCCTTTCACTCTTCAAATCCAGCTTCAAGTCCTTGATAGTCTTCATTGTCAATTGCTTCAGTCAATGTCTAAAACTTGAAAAGGTGAGTCACAAAACTTTTAAACTCACCTTGACCTTCGTCTCATAGCGACGCAAATGAGGCATGAGTTTCTCCGAAATCGTCTCAAAGTCCTCCCTCAGCTTCCTAAACCGGATTATTAAGCATTCAAAGACAAAAACTTACGCGCATTTTTCAAGTGTCTTCTTTCCTTCTCCAAATGTCGAAATGCTCTTACAGTCTTCTTCTTTCAAAACCAATTTCTAAGAAAGTCTGCATATTAATATAATTCGAAATAAGTATACCGTTCCAAAAGCCTCCAGACCCTTCGAAGTATTCTCGTGCATTACTGCAAACAAATCGTTGTACGTTTTCACCACATTGGCCGTATCTTTCTGTTGAGCCTCGGACATTTCACAAAGCTAGATACATCATTTTTTTATTTGCTAACTTTAAATTTACTGCTTTCTTCCAAAGTCGCGTTGTCTCATGAGATCGATGCTCCTCAACAAGGCAATCTGAACAAATCTAAAAGGAAAAACTATATGTCAATTAACCCACTAACCTTCAAATCGCATTCATTACAGTGATGCATCTTCTCAATAATGCGCTGGAAGTTGACTTTATTAATTTAATCTTTCAAACTATACCGTCTCCTTGCAATCATCACAAACACGATGGTTCCTCATTCCTTCCATTTGACGTGTCATCATTGGCAATTCATTCAAGAAATCTAACGGATGAAAGTTCTTTTAAATTATAGCAATTACCTTGAAATCGATCAACCCACGCATCACCATTGGAAATGGTATCTTCGTTACAAATTGGGCAAGTAAACCGGTGGGTCCATTGCTTTTTTGTCGCATCCGTGTTTGGGGCGCGATTCTTCAGAAAACATTCCGTACAGATAGGGTGATTGCAATAGAGTGAAAACGATTTCTTTCCGTCAACTTGATTCGAATCTAAATTAAACATAAATATTCAACCAAAATGAATACTTTATTCCCCAAATAAACAATGAAACACTTACATTCATCATGACAAATTGGACATTCGGGAATTTTGAAGGGCTAAACGAAACTGATCTACATAAAGAGCAAGAAAGACCTTGACCAGCAAATAACCATCTCCCAAAGGTGAAAGTGCCAAGGAATCTTCTTGCGATAGAACATCTAAATCGGAAATACAAGCAAATAATATTCTTTTATTTTAAAAAAGCTGCGCCGTGTACACTTTAAACAAAACAAATTCACTTACCAATAAGGTAAAATGCAAAATTGGGATTTGTAAAGCACTGTTTCCGAACACATTGATGTTTCCTCTCCTCTTTCTCCAACAGCCTCTCCTTCTCGAAGCATTCGTGACACATCGCCGGTCCGCAGGATAAACGTCGTGGTGACCGAGCCTCGTTGGCCTTTCGAGCAACTAAAAATAATAAATTAACACAGTGCACTTAGGCATGTGGTATTCCATAGAATTAAATAAAACGCATAACTTACATGGCAACTTGCAGACAACGCAGTTGAGAGACTGAAAGACTTTCATTTCCTGAAAAGAAACAATGATCAGGGTACTTCCTGAGTAGCGGGGGGAGGGCAATTTTTTCATAATCTACTTTTTCTGGACCAGTTTTTCATGCTGATTCCGTATTTCGACATCGCTAGTCCGGCAACTGCGATTTTATCCTCGAAAACAACTTTTAAAAAATATGCATTAGGGATTTGACCCTTTTTCGATGCAAATTTTCGGTTCCGATTCAGATGTATTTAAAATGGATGAAAAAGTAGAGTTCGAAAAACAATTGGCCGAGATTAACAAACAAGCATTGCTTAATATTCTAAAAAAGATGCAGGCGAAAAAGAGAGAATGAAGTTTTGCCCACTTTCAAAGGCTTTATAGAAAATTAAACAAACAATGAATACTCAGTTAAATGATTGAATGCTTTCCGACACATTTTCATTTCTAAACGTACGGTGTTTTCTTTTGTTAGGTGCAATTTAGGAAAGGTTTTTTTGCTTTTTATTGTTTAAGCAGCAAGTTTTGTTCGTTAAAGTTTACTTTGGCTTCAAAAGCGGAAAAATTTTCGAAATGACGCCAAATTAAATAAGAAATCTCGAATAAAGAAGTTCTACTTGAAGTAGATGACGAGCACCTGCTCGCCAGAGAACAAATTCAGAAGAAAAAACTCTGACAGTCAGAAGAAAACTCTGAAAGTCAGAAGACTTTCAGAAAAAATTGTGAAGATTTTTATACAAAACTGGTGCGACAAAGACTTAGTATAATTTTGCATTTCCCAGTAATTTTGATTATTTTTCTGTGTTTTTTTTCTTAATTTGAGCTATAATTTGATTAAAATTTATTATTTTATTAATTTCAGTCAATGGGTCGCAAGAAACCACTCCAGCCTGCTATTCGGGATACGATTGTGGCTCTTCATCAAGCCGGTGAGAGACAGGATCGAATTGC